CTGCCCCCCGCATGTTCGCTGTTTCGGCACACCCTTCACACGTTTCGCGGCCCCATAGGGAGCTCCACCGAAGGCCCAAGTGTCAGGGTCCGCATGCGGTTCCACCTCCATTTCGGCGCACCCCTCACACGTTTCGTGGCCCCATAGGGAGCTCCACCGAAGGCCCAAGTGTCAGGGTCCGCATGCGGTTCCACCTCCATTTCGGCGCACCCCTCACACGTTTCGTGGCCCCATAGGGAGCTCCACCGAAGGCCCAAGTGTCAGGGTGCGGTTCCACCTCCATTTCGGCGCACCCCTCACACGTTTCGTGGCCCCATAGGGAGCTCCACCGAAGGCCCAAGTGTCAGGGTCCGCATGCGGTTCCACCTCCATTTCGGCGCACCCCTCACACGTTTCGTGGCCCCATAGGGAGCTCCACCGAAGGCCCAAGTGTCAGGGTCCGCATGCGGTTCCACCTCCATTTTCGGCGCACCCCTCACACGTTTCGTGGCCCCATAGGGATCCGCATGCGGTTCCACCTCCATTTCGGCGCACCCTCACACGTTTCGTGGCCCCATAGGAGCTCCACCGAAGGCCCCAGTGGCAGGGTCCGCATGCGGTTCCACCTCCATTTCGGCGCACCCCTCACACGTTTCGTGGCCCCATAGGGAGCTCCACCGAAGGCCCAAGTGTCAGGGTCCGCATGCGGTTCCACCTCCATTTCGGCGCACCCCTCACACGTTTCGTGGCCCCATAGGGAGCTCCACCGAAGGCCCAAGTGTCAGGGTCCGCATGCGGTTCCACCTCCATTTCGGCGCACCCCTCACACGTTTCGTGGCCCCATAGGGAGCTCCACCGAAGGCCCAAGTGTCAGGGTCCGCATGCGGTTCCACCTCCATTTCGGCGCACCCCTCACACGCTTCGTGGCCCCATAGGGAGCTCCACCTGAGGCCCCAGTGGCAGGGTCCGCATGCAGTTCCACCTCCATTTCGGCGCACCCCTCACACGTTTCGTGGCCCCATAGGGAGCTCCGCCTAAGGCCTAAGTGGCAGGGTCCGCATGCAGTTCCACTTCCATTTCGGCGCACCCCTCACACGTTTCGTGGCGTCATAGGGAGCCCCGCCTAAGGCCTAAGTGGCACGGTCCGCATGCAGTTCCACCTCCATTTCGGCACACCCCTCACACGTTTCGTGGCCCCATAGAGAGCTCCGCCTAAGGCCCAAGTGGCAGGGTCCGCATGCAGTTCCACCTCCATTTCGGCGCACCCCTCACACGTTTCGTGGCCCCACAGGGTGCTCCACCGAAGGCCCCAGTGGCAGGGTCCGCATGCAGTTCCACCTCCATTTCGGCGCACCTCTCACACGCTTCGTGGCCCCATCGAGTGTTCCACCAACGACGATACTTACAACGGCGGCATTCGGAATTGCGTATGGTTGGGCCCTTCGCCAGGATAATATAATTACCCTGGCGACGTACCCAACCCCTGCGCGAAAGCGGGGCGCAGATAGTTTAGGATACTTTATAAGGGGGCGATGACGGAGCGAGGGTTACATATGTTTGCAGACGGAATTCGGGAGACTCGCAGGACACTGGCTACAGGAGAAGGGCTTGATAAAACTGATGATTTAAAATTCTTGAACACTCCTAGCCACTTCGAAAACGGGGATCACAGCAGGCCTCGAAAGCGGCGACAGGTTCACAGATCGCAGCCCCGCAGGGATGGCGAGGTCTCATTTGAATCTGCCCGTGGCCCTCACTGTGCTGGGCCCCCCAGCAGGCCTCGAAAATGGCGGCAGTTTCGCAGATCGCAGCCCCCCAGGGATGGCGAGGTCTAATTTGAATCCGCGCGTGGCCCTCACTGTGCTGGGCCCCCCAGCAGGCCTCGAAAATGGCGACAGTTTCGCAGATCGCAGCCCCCCAGGGATGGCGAGGTCTAATTTGAATCTGCGCGTGGCCCTCACTGTGCTGGGCCCCCCAGCAGGCCTCGAAAATGGCGACAGTTTCGCAGATCGCAGCCCCCCAGGGATGGCGAGGTCTAATTTGAATCCGCGCGTGGCCCTCACTGTGCTGGGCCCCCCAGCAGGCCTCGAAAATGGCGACAGTTTCGCAGATCGCAGCCCCCCAGGGATGGCGAGGTCTAATTTGAATCCGCGCGTGGCCCTCACTGTGCTGGGCCCCCCAGCAGGCCTCGAAAATGGTGACAGTTTCGCAGATCGCAGCCCCCCAGGGATGGCGAGGTCTAATTTGGATCCGCGCGTGGCCCTCGCTGTGCTGGGCCCCCCAGCAGGCCTCGAAAATGGCGACAGTTCCGCAGATCGCAGCCCCCCACGGACGGCGAGGTCTAATTTGAATCCGCGCGTGGCCCTCACTGTGCAAGGCCCCCCAGCAGGCCGGCCTCGAAAATGGCGCGACAGTTTCGCAGATCGCAGCCCCCCAGGGATGGCGAGGTCTAATTTGAATCCGCGCGTGGCCCTCACTGTGCTGGGCCCCCCAGCAGGCCTCGAAAATGGCGACAGTTTCGCAGATCGCAGCCCCCCAGGGACGGCGAGGTCTAATTTGAATCCGCGCGTGGCCCTCACTGTGCTGGCCCCCCAGCAGGGCTCGAAAGTGGCGACAGTTTCACAGATCGCAGCCCCCCAGGGATGGCGAGGTCTAATTTGAATCCGCCGCGATTACCCTCTATGCAGGACCCCCCAGCAGGCCTCGAAAGTGGCGACAGTTTCACAGATCGCAGCCCCCCAGGGATGGCGAGGTCTAATTTGAATCCGCCGCGATTACCCTCTATGCAGGACCCCCCAGCAGGCCTCGAAAGTGGCGACAGTTTCACAGATCGCAGCCCCCCAGGGATGGCGAGGTCTAATTTGAATCCGCCGCGATTACCCTCTATGCAGGACCCCCCAGCAGGCCTCGAAAGTGGCGACAGTTTCACAGATCGCAGCCCCCCAGGGATGGCGAGGTCTAATTTGAATCCGCCGCGATTACCCTCTATGCAGGACCCCCCAGCAGGCCTCGAAAGTGGCGACAGTTTCACAGATCGCAGCCCCCCAGGGATGGCGAGGTCTAATTTGAATCCGCCGCGATTACCCTCTATGCAGGACCCCCCAGCAGGCCTCGAAAGTGGCGACAGTTTCACAGATCGCAGCCCCCCGCAGGCAAGACAGGAAGAGGCAGGCAGGAGGCAGGAGGGGAGGCGGGAGGAGACGCGACCACACTGCTCTATTCAAAACGAATACCCAACCAAGGAGGGTTGGGAAAAACATAACGATAAAACAAACGCGCGCAAGCATGAACGCGCGCGCGCGAACGCCGCGCGCGCGTGCGCGCGAGCGCACG